CACGAAACCCGGGTCCAGGGTTTCCTGTTGACCACCTCCAACCACCATGTTACCCTAATATATATAGTGCCCGCAGTGTCGAGCCACCTAGACTGGTGGCCACATTGCAACTTGATCGATAGCATTCGATCAGCACTAAGGACCTGACACGCATGAGATTGATCACCACCCAGTGATCAATCAATTGTGATTAGATCTCAGTCCTACAGGAGGTCGGTCGCGGCCCGAATAGCTCAGTGGTAACGTCTCTGACTGTGAAGCTGAGTGACGCGGGATCGAATCCGCCAGGGAGCATCAGTTCCCTCAGGATTACAGGTACACCTTGCTGACGAGTGCCAAGTAGCACGAAACCCGGGTCCAGGGTTTCCTGTTGACCACCTCCAACCACCATGTTAGCCTATTATGGGTGCCGATACGTCTGCTTTAACAAAATCCCAGCGGTATGTAGCGACTCGTCCGAAATTTGGGGACAACATTCGTTTCCCGTATGTTTTGGTATCTGATTTGTTCGCTGCTTTTAGAACTAATGACGTGTTAAGGTTTCTTTTATCGTCGCATACTGGAGGTACTATGCTAATTTCCGCTCCCGTGTCCACTCAGAATTGTGTACCTGTCATTCGGTCTTGTATATAAAATAGGCGGCTGTTTGAGGGCTTTATGTTTATGCTGGCGTTGCCATGGACAAACGAGGGTACAGCTTACTTGCGTGTTAAATTTACAAGGTTGCAAACATTTTTTTGCTCTGTAACCATACATTTGATGATGCCAACATATCAGCGGAGTTGCGCGTCTTCTGGAAGCTGATCGGCTTCTACCGCGCATGCCATCTCGTGATGATTTTCGTGGTCTCTCGCTTTGGGTCAACACTGTGAGTTTGCGGCAAAAACATCTATCTCCTTCTGCAGAGTACTGATTCTATTATCTACTGTCAAGCTGTCTGATTGAGGGTTTGCTTGCTTGGCACTTTCGTATATTCTATCAGCTATTTTTCTATGTTGTCTATGTCAGCGTCAGTATCTCCAACGGCTGAGATTTGTTGAACATTGGACGGTAGTCGGAGAAGCCACAGTTGATTAAACAGACTATTGTCTATCTTTCTATCGCCTAGTAGACTTTTCATATAAGTTTTTAACTGTAATGGAGTTCTATCCCCCATTTGTACTTGATTGAGAAGCTGCTCAACAGCTTGTTGGTCACTTAGTGAGACTGCTTTAATTACTGCCTGCTTTAGTACATCGTATGGCCTTTCAGTATCCGGTTTATATAACGCCTCTCGTACGCTGTCTGCTGCTTCCTCTGGTAGGAGTGTGCTTGTGAGGCCGAATTTATCTCTCTGCAAGTAAATGCGATTGGCCAGAAAATAGTTTTCGAGTCTAATGAACCACAGGTGCGGGTCAGTGACCTTAAAAGAGGGGACTGGAAGATTAAGAGCTCTCACGGACGAAGTTCGCTGTACACTTGACACAGTATTTCCGGAAGACATGCTTACAAAAAATTTTTTAAATAGTGCACAAATATGATGCAAAAGCCACAAAGAACAAATGAACGAACAAAAATAATGATAATAATGAATGGTACAATTTATAAAATGGAACAGACTAAATTATTCCTCCTTTTTTTTCCTCTAAATAGATATTATTCTTAAGATTACGAAATTTTGGATTAAGATAAAAACTTGTGTTACGCTGAATTCAACTTATTAGGCTCGTTTTATCTTCACTATGCATATACACTTCATACATATTGATTACCTTTTGCACTTAATTGAGACTTTAATAGCATCACCCCAAACTATGTCTGCACGCACAAACACTTACTTTAACACCATATCTTACCGCAATAATAAGTTATTTACCTATTAATTTATTTTGTTTTTTTATTACCCATTTTGCGTGCATACATAGTTGTTTATTTTTGTTCTGTGTTAAGCTATTTACGTATTCCGCGTCTCCTTTGTTTCTATTTCTTTGGTTTCTTCCTTTCATCCTTTAAAATCAATTCAAAATTCTTGCCAATTACACAGGACCTTATTTATTCTCACTATTCTATTATTAATATCTTATTTTCCTTTTCTTTCCTTTCTCAAACATGACAAGTGTAATGCTTACATTATTGAAAGTTGTGTATAACTGCATTTTTGAAGAAACCCGGAATGGTTTTTTCACAATACCTATGTGCTCATAAGATGTTTGTGAATAATAATAAGACTAATCAAAAAGAGTCCATCTGAGACATATTGCAGACCACAGCAACAAAACGGGAAACTCCCTTCTAGGAGTGTCTTAAGTTGAAAAAGATTTAGGTGTACGAATATTCAATTATTTGAAGTCTTACGATCACTGATAAAAAAATGCCTTCCCAGAAGACATTGCACTGGTAACATTGAAGTGCATTTTCGACCAGTTTGATGGACAAACTTTCCACATAATCTTAAACTGTTTTATTCATCCCTATTCAGAGTACGGAAACATAGTTTTTCCTCCTCGACCCCAAAATGGATAAGGACACTATGGAATGAGACAGGAAATCAGTTCAGAGACTCAAAATCAAATGTTACCAAGAGCGCTTCCAATCACTGAACATAAATCCACTAGAGAATAAACATCTTAGAGGTGACCTTCTAAAGGCTCACAGCATCCTAATTACTTCTGGACATCCCCTTAAACACCTACTTAGGCTCAGTCCCAACACAAATATATGGGGTACTATAAGTCATAAGAAGATCACCTCTAAGACGCCTGTACTCTATTGGGTAAAGGTTAAGTCATTTGAGGCGCTCTTCATAAGGTTTGAATTTGAGTCCCCGAACTGATTTCGTGATTAAATTCTGACCTTGGTGATCTTGGTATTAGCGTATCTTATCTTTTCTTTCAATCTGGGACTTATCATCTAAGTGGAAATTCTATAAAGTTCAAAAACCGAGATAAAATCGTTTATATTTTTATTTCCGAATTACTGGTCATCAATCGAAACGGCTTGGGACGTATTCCGGAATCTATACTTAAAAGTTACCGCCCCCCACATCCCTTGGACTACACCTAAGAGGCCGAGAAACTCCCCACCGTGGTTCAGTAGGGAGGTTCGCATCCTTCTCCGTAAAAGAAGGAAAATGTGGGACAGATTTAGGTTACTGGGGACTGACGAGGCGAAATCTCAGTATCAAAAGGCTCGAAATACCTGTGCCTCGACCCTCCGTAAGGCCAGAAAGCTGTACGAAGAGAAAATCGTTAGGGAATCCATAGAATGCCCTAAACGCTTGTATTCGTATATAAACCAAAGGACAAAAAGGAGAAGAAATGTTCCTTCACTATGGGGAGACAGTACTGCCACATCACTAGTGGAGGATGACTTTGGCAAAGCTCAAGTATTCTCTAAATACTTTAGCGATGTATACACCATAGAAACACCCTTCTCACCAGTCCATGAAAATCCACCCACACAAGCACTGGACAGCGTAACCATTGAAGAACTCGATGTTTTTGGTCTGCTAGTTAAGCTTGACATAGGTAAATCCACTGGACCCGATGAACTGCATCCTAGGTTACTAAAGGAATTAGCTAACTTTGTTGCGAACCCTTTAAGTGTATGTTTTAATCTATCCGTAACCCAGGGTCGTCTACCAAAAGACTGGAAGAACGCCATAGTAAGTCCAGTCTTCAAAACAGGTACAAAACATAAGCCCGAGAATTACCGACCAATTAGCCTAACTAGTGTGGTTGTTAAAATCTTAGAAAAGATTATTCGGAAGGAACTGTTAAAGTATCTCGATGAAAAGCGGATCCTCTCCGAAAAGCAGCATGGTTTTAGAACAGGTTACTCTTGTCTCACAAACTTATTAGTCGCTCGTGAAAGCTGGTGCGCTCTTAAGGACCAAAAATTACCTATAGACGTAGCTTACATCGATTTCAGCAAAGCCTTTGACAAAGTTCCGCATAACCGGCTGTTATATAAGCTAAGGAATGTCGGGATTGGAGGCAATCTATTGATGTGGATAAAAGACTTCCTAGTTGGGCGTCAACAAAGAGTAAGGGTGAACTCCAAGTTGTCTAGCTGGGAAACTGTGCTTAGTGGAGTCCCCCAAGGTACAGTTTTGGGGCCAGTGTTATTCCTCCTGTACGTAAATGATCTCCCTCGTCTACTATCGTCATCGATCTTACTCTATGCTGATGATGTCAAGATATGGAGAGCGATACAAAGCAAGAGCGATAGCTTAGAACTTCAAAATGACCTGGAGAGATTATGTGAATGGTCCCAAACCTGGCAATTGCCGATAAACACTTCCAAGTGTATTGTGATGCATATTGGCCATCAGGGTACAGATACATACACGATGAATAACACTGAGTTACCTATTGTTCAGGCACACAATGACTTAGGCGTCATCGTTAGTCAAGACTTAAAGACTACTGCACACTGCCGTGCAATAGCCGCCAAAGGTTTTAGGACTTTATGGTCCATACGCAGGGCTTTTAGGCATCTTGACGCTAAAACGTTTCTGACTTTGTATACAGTGTTCGTACGCCCTAAACTTGAGTACTGTATACAAGCAGCTAACCCCTGCCTAAAAAAAGACAGTGAACTCTTGGAAAGAGTTCAGAGAACAGCAACTAGGCTGATTCCCGGAATAGCGAAGCTCCCGTATGGTACTAGACTGACCAAGCTAAACCTATTCCCGCTGTCATATAGAAGAATCAGAGGTGACTTGATTATAGTTTTCAAATTGCTAAATGACAAATTTGCACCTGATATGCCCTCATTTTTCTTGTCTTCCAAAACAGAAAATCTACGAGGACACTCCAAAAAAGTTCACAAGCCCAGAACGAATTACTTGTCAGCTGACTACCGACTTTCCCATCGAATAATCAACGAGTGGAATTCATTACCTCAGCACTTGGTTGAGGCTCCATCCGTCGACTCCTTTAAAAGAAAGTTGGATCAGCTGAGAGATCGTCATTGCCAGGACTAACACAGGCCACCAAGCCTCCTGTCCTTTCCAAACTGAAACTGAAACTGAAACTGGACTTCTCTATCTGAACATGAAATATCAGCACCTTATGCTGATAAATTTAGGGTGAAATTGAATTTTCCGGGCACTGAAAATCGCAACTATTATTATAGGTCAGTTGACTTCCTATCTTCACTTCTATAGATCGCGAATCTAACTCATTGGACTATTGGAACCGCGTTATCTTGACAGCAACGTTACCGAGAAGTTTCTCGTTTCGCGAAAGTTGACTATGTTTTCAGTATAATGAGCACCGCAGAACCGTTCGCAGGGTGGCTTTACAAATGGACCAATCTTATTAAAGGCTATAAAAAACGTTGGTTTTTAATACAGGATAATTTACTCAGCTACTACAGGTAAATATAATTTTTGCTTAATGTGGTTTTCAAGAGAACCGGATGCAGTCGGGAGACATTGTCGTGGGACTTTCGACTTGACAAATGCCCATCTGAGTGTTCAAGACTCTGGATGTTCTTTTATTTTGACGGAGAGCTCTGGAAGAAAGCATCACTTCAAGGCCTTGTCCGACGAAGATAAGGAGAATTGGATTACTGCCCTTACAGACCTTATTTCAAGATCTCAGGTTACCCATACTGGTTAGTTCGTTAATCGGAGTACTATAAATCTACATATCGTTGCACTTCTAACGTTTTCCCACAATGAACACCTAGCTAGGTGTTATTTAACCCCTGTTTTCTGGAAAATGGATGCTCGGCCTCTGTCATAGCAACATTAATGGTTTATGACTAAATTGTATTTATTTGTGTGATTTTGTTATACGAGCAATATCTTTATGCTCAGAAATCTAAGGAAGGGAAGCTTTTCGCATTTGTAATATACTACCGCATTAACGATTTTCGGTGTTTCACAGCTAAGTTGAAACGTATTCACGTGAACACTTTTGGATATAGGTTAAAAGCAACTAAAAGGTATTAGCATTCGGGTTTCATTGCGTCTGTAGCAAAATGTTTGACCTCTTAACTTATGTCTCGCGTGTGTTACAGTAGCTGTTGGCGACGTCGCAACAAAACCAAGTGTTGAATTTGTCTACAAACTAAGTTTTCACTGTCTTGATCACAAAATTATCCCGAATCAAAACAATTCAGTAGAAAACTCATAGCGCTACGATAAAAATGGTTTATAATTCTGTAAAATCAGTCAGCGAGCCACAACGTAGAACTTCGTACTTACGTACGTACGTACATCAGTTCAAGTTGCCATACCACATTAGCACAGAGATGCAGTTGTCGATTCAAATCTCAAAGTGGTAGAAGTAGTAAGATTAGGGTTTGAAGATATTATTCAAGAAATATAACCCAGTGAAATAAATTTTGAGAGGGAAAAAGTATAGGAACATGGAGAATTCAGAAGATTAGAATTTGGCAGAACACTAAGCGTGGATGCAACTTCGTCATTGCAAACGATTTTGAGCCATGTCATTCAAATTCTCTAACCAATGACTGCTATCATCTTGCGGATCCTAACCAGGTAGTCTATACCTACCAACATGGCCCAGTCCACTCAAGAACCACAGTCCATTAACTTGATATATTTCTGTTTGCATGGGACTTTCACGTCATTTAAGTAAACCTCTGCGAGTCTTTTTCTATGAATTATGCTACGTGTCGACAGACTTGTTTACCTGTGACTTAGTCACGGTGTGAAAAATAAAAGTAATGTTAGTACTTACAGTTGCCATGTACGTCCCAAGTAATTGAATCTCCGTTTAGTTTCACTTGTGTAAATTAGCAGTTTTCTCTTAAGTGTAGGTGTACACCTTTATCTTCCCTTAAATTTTAAGATTAAAATTGCTTCGTAACTTTCTTCCTTCATACACTATATCCTTATATACAACCTATCTTTTATATATTATCACCACTAAATTAACTACTTCTATGAATCGGTGTTCATCTGGTTGTGCTAACGGGATATGGCAACTTGGACCGATGCGCATATGTGCCTGGTCCTACGTTGTAGCTGACTGACTGACTTAATTGTGCTATTCATAAATAACAAACAGCCTCCTAATTAATTATAGTGTACTTGCTAGAATGAAAACTTTGTTGACAAATATGGGTATTTTAAGACTGAGGTGAAGCATTACTTTATAAGGCAATTGATTGTGGTTTGTCATCGGACGAGTGCCACTTTCTTGTTTTGGGTTTGCTCAAAAACCATAATCAGTCATCAGAGACTTTCACTAACTCTAAACAACTTGTTTATGCTGTTATACGAGACGTATTTGAAAATCATCCCGTTTTCCTACCGACTTCAAACCAAGTCACTTTTTTGAATTTGAAGTTTGTTACAACTCTAAGATCTTGAGGAACAAAGCTATATATCTTAAAATGTATAAATCTCGTTACGTCCATCTTTAGTCTTCACCATATCCAATTATCTGTTTTACTCCAAAAATCCGCTTTTTATTAAAATTCTAGAAATTGAATCAGATTACTCATCATTTAACATACTTCGACCAGACAAAGAGAACGGTTGTAAGCGAGATTCTTTCAGATTTACTCCTAAATGTCGACCAAAGTTGGATATTAAAACAACCAGTCTCTCAGTTCTACCTCAACCGCTTGCTAACCAGGCAATATTACTGAATAACTGTCAATGTGCTAGCCAGTCGTGTTCACATGACGGTTTATGTAATTCAACTTTTAATGAGAAGTTCCGAAGAATAAAGATCAAGCACGATTTATCGAAATCGGACTGTAGGTGTGTGTCAGATGCTCTAATATCAAATTCATATTCTCTTCCTGTGTCTGAACAAAATGTTGCTACCAATGACCTCAAGATGAAAAGTGATACAGGAAGACGTTTGTCCCGTCAATATGTCTTTTCAATTGAAGACAGCAACCGTTTAGAAGTCATAGAGGCTTTGAGGAGACGCCTGCATGATCACATTAGTAACATTTGTTCTCAAGTCAGTAATATCGAATCAATGCTTACATCAGTTTCAACTGAATTATCCAGTTTGCTGCTTCAGTCACGTTCATTCCCATTGAATTCAGATGATCGCTTTTCTGCCTCAGACCTAGAAAGACGAACTACTTCTCTTAAACTTGCCTTGCTTGAACATCGTAACGACGCAAAAGAATTTTACGAGGTTAGTTCCTTTCAAAGTGGTCGTAATAAATTGTTTTTTTTCCGATAGTGCGTGTAGTGGATATTCATGTAGCTTTTCGATGTCTTTTAAAAATCATTGCTTATTGTTCTTGTTTGACGTGTGGTCCATTCTGCTTAACTCATGAAACCGCTCTTGTCTTTCGAATTCTTGTTTAATTGATGTTGACTAGTCACTATAAAGCAACTTTTATCTTTCTGTGTACATTTATTGACTATTTGCAATGTGTTAATATTTTAATAAATTAATCATTTGTTACATTTAAGGTTAAAAGGACGCCGTTCTTCTGGCAAAATGAAGTGAATTTTCATACGATGGCACTTCCTTGTTTTTGCAGTCTTTTTACTTTGTTGAAGTTAAAGAGTACTGTCTTTAAAATTTGAAGTTGGGAAAGTATTTATTGATTTGCTAAAATTTATTGCTTACTAAGCTATTAGGTTTGGTAAAGATCGGAGATCACTCACTATCAAAATCGATGTTTTGTTAGCTGGTAATGAAAAGTATACCTATTATATTATATCCTGGCCCCCAAATGCCATGTAACGGCCGAGAGTGGCGAGAGTCTACTCTCCCTCTCGAAATGCTCTCACATGGCCACGCGAATATATAGCCTCTGCCAGGGAAGTCCTACTCACTGCCTTCTTGTGGCTGGGGTGTTGCTTACGAAAGTGAGAGGACGAAAAGCGAATGTCCGGCGCTATAACCGGGTTGGTGGATGTGGAGGATCCACCTAGGGGAGTTGGAAAACCCTGATTCCAAACCAGTGGTGCACATGGGCTCCAGTATCATGATGGAACGAATGGCGAATGAACCTGTTCTCGGTCAACGGCTACCATGGGACTGCATCTCCTCACGATGCTCCACTGCCTTGTGGATCAGACCTTTAGGTCAAAGGCTGGGGGTGTGGCCCCCTAAGAAAACCACCTGCTTCGGTTTGGGCACCCGGGCAGTATCACAGCCCACACACAAATGAATGAAATGATGAACTCTGTTGACGATTCTATTCCTGCTCATATTATAAGCAAGACAATTTACATTATTATTATTATTATTATTATTATTATTATTATTATTTACCATATCGCTAACTCACCCCCTTTTATCCCCAATTTGTGTAACCTTACTTTTCAACTTATGCAGCAGCTCGCTCTTGGTGGAAAATCTGTCCTATCTGAAGGATCTCCAGTCACTGTCTGGTTGAAAGTGAATGCTTCCACCGATTATGAATACTGAAGCAGTCTTTCTGAAACCACGTACGCCGTTCAAGCTGGCTTCCTTCAACGTTCGCACACTAACGCATATCAGACAACAGATAGGGCTGGCTATGTCTTTGGAAGGTCTTAATGTTGATGTTTGTTGTCTATCCGAGACCCGCATTCAAGACTCTAGTGAAGTACTACAAATCCACTCTCCATCTGTCGCCTCGAAAAGCTTGTTTCACGTGCGCTTATCCGGGGACCCTGTGGCATCTTCGTCTGGTCTTGCTGGCGTTGGTGTTGCACTAAGCGCTAGAGCCGAGGCAGCACTAATCGACTGGATACCCATTAACAGTCGGTTATGTGCTGTTAGATTAGAAAGTTCCATCAAAGTGAGAAGAAATCGGCGTGAGAAACGGTGTCTTTTCGTCATCTCCGCCTGTGCTCCGACAGATTGTAGCCCGGATACAATCAAGGATGAGTTTTACCATCAGTTAACAGTTCTTCTCCAGAAAGCGCGTTCGACAGATATTGTAGTACTAGCCGGAGACTTGAATGCATAGGTCGGGCGTCTAGGCACAGAAGAGAGTCGTTTAGGTGGCCGATTGGGACTTGTTGGTCGCAGGACAGATAACGGGGACCGTTTGCTGCAACTGTGCACAGACCACAACCTGTTTCTGGCCAGCACTAACTTCCGGCACAGTCATCGCCGGTGTGCCACCTGGCGTCCTCCCTCTGCATCCCAAGCCTGGACTCAGATTGATCACATCGCGATCAGCTACCGCTGGCGTGGTTGTGTACAAGACTGCCGCTCCTTTTGGAGTACCTATCTGGAGTCTGATCATGTCCTGGTCTGCGCCAATCTCACCTTACTTTTCAGTGGCCGAAGGATTGACCACCACCAACGGATCGATGTTAGTAAACTGGCTGCAACATCTGTTGCAAGTAAGTATCGAGCGGAGCTAGCGTCTAGGCTAGCTACCATCCCACCGAAAAGTATAGATGAGCATTGGTTGGACTTCGAGTAAAGCTGCTTGCGGCTTCGCGAAACGTCCCGCTTACAAGCACTGGGTTTCTTCTGGCTCCTTACAACTGATGGAAGCCCGTCGGTCTACTCCGGGTGACCGTGAGTATGACCACAAACGAAGGCTGTTACATAATGAAATTGGGCAAAGCTTGCGTAAGGACCGATAAGCCTGGTGGTCGGAGCGTGCTAATGAGATGGAAGCAGCAGCTGCATCTGGTAACTGCCGGAAGCTCTTCCAACTCATCCGAGCCACTGGCAGCAAGAAGTCTGGTGTGAGTGAAACAATCTACGAGGATGACGGGATGCCAATCACTAACATCTGTCGACGTCTTGAACGATGGGCTGAATTTTTCGAAGGGCAGTTCAACTGGTCTGCTGCTCCGGCAACATCGACCAGTTTGTCCTGCTCCCCATGGCCGGTGACGACTGATCCACCAAACGAGGCGGAAGTCCGCAAGGAACTCCAACTCTTGAAACGTTACAAATCACTTGGCCCAGATGACTTACCTCCGGCTCTTTTTAAAGATGGTGGTGACTTTCTAGCTAAGGAACTGACGGTGTTGTTTGGAAAGGTTTGGGAGCAAGAAAGTGTTCCAACATCATGGAATGAGTTGATAGTCGTCCCTATCTTTAAAAAGGGTTCACGTTGTTCCTGTGATAACTATCGGGGGATAAGTCTTCTTCGGATTGCGTCCAAACTATTGGCTTCTGTCATTCTTCGTAGGTTGTTTAAAACCCGAGAACGATTGACTCGCGAGGAGCAGGCTGGTTTTCGTTCTGGTCGAGGATGCATTGATCACATCTTCACCCTCCGCCAAATGTTAGAACACCGTCATACTTATTGCAGACCAACAATCGTAGTGTTTCTTGATATCAGGGCTGCCTTCGATTCGTTGGACAGGACTGTTCTCTGGGATTGTCTATTGAAGAAGGGTGTGCCTGAGAAGTTCATTGACATCTTAAAGGCCCTGTATACGAACACCTCAGGCAGAGTGAGGGCATACAACCACCTTTCTCCCTTGTTTCATTCGAGTAGTGGGGTTAGGCAGGGTTGCCCGATCTCACCATTCCTCTTCAACTTTGTCATCGACGACATCCTGGAAACAGCTCTGATGGATGTAAGTAATGGCGGTGTGGATATGTTGCCTGGAGAACGACTTCTCGAGCTCGAGTATGCGGATGATATTGTCTTACTGTGCGATAATGCCCAAGGCATGCAATCTGCACTTAATCAGTTGGCAATCAATGTCCGCAGGTACGGTATGTGCTTTGCACCCTCCAAGTGCAAGGTACTCCTACAAGACTGGCAGGATTGTCATCCTGTACTCACCCTGGATGGTGAGCAGATTGAAGTAGTTCAGAAGTTCGTGTATCTAGGTAGCTATATAAGTGCTGGTGGTGGCGTGAGTGATGAGATTGATGCACGTATAAGGAAAGCCAGAGCGGCTTATGCCAATCTGGGCCATCTTTGGCGCCTTCGTGATGTTAGTCTGGCTGTAAAAGGTCGGATCTACAAGCGTCGGTGAGAGCAGTTTTGCTCTATGCTTGTGAAACCTGGCCTCTCCGAGTTGAGGATGTTAGACGACTCTCTGTGTTCGATCATCGTTGTCTCCGAAGGATTGCTGACATTCAGTGGCAACACCATGTTAGTAATGCAGAGGTTCGGCATCGTGTGTTCGGGCGCAGAGACGATAATTCAGTTGGTGTCACCATCTTGAAACACCGACTTCGGTGGCTTGGACATGTTTTCTGAATGTCGTCTCAGAGACTTCCACGTCGTGCATTATTTGCCGACTCTGGGACTGGTTGGAGAAAGCGGAGAGGAGGTCAGTGTATGACATGGTGTCGTGGCATGAAAGAAAGCTGCAAAGGGCTAGCTTTTGTTGGTCCTTCACAACTCCCTTGCTGGGGTCCGAGAGATGGTGCAACACAGTGGCTAGAGACGTTATCAGATATGGCTCAGAATAGAAGCCAGTGGCGAGCCTGCTGTAACCTTCTTTTACTTTCTTCATAAAGATTGGCTATAACTTTCCTAACTGAGAGAGCTCTTCTGGTTGTACATTCAGTTCCCCCCATCATTACTCTTCTCCTTTTCTTTTTTTTCCTTCTTTTATATATACGCATCTTCTTCCTTCTCCCATTCTCATTATTTTGTATGGCGATTATGTATCTGGTGCCCCTTTGTACCGATTTATGTGTGATTAAATAAATAAATAAAATAAACTGAAAACGATGTTATTGAAGTTGGGAAATTTTCAAAAGAAAGTAAGGGAGGTGGAAGTACTCCTTATCGCCACAATCATGTTTGTTAAACTCAACAACCAGTTTTTTTCATGGAACCCGACTTCAGCATGCAATATCTTTGGTGGTAACGACTTAAAACGTTTTGCAAACTGAGTATTATGAGTTATATTTTGTAGTATGTATTAAGGAAACACGTTTAGATATTCCTGTTTGCTAATTATGGTGTCTAAAATGAAAACCAAGTATTCTGAAGGATAACTGTGCTGAAAGTGACCATTCTGAGTGTTTCATCATTGAAGCCATGAAATTGAGATCATTTCATCATATGGGTCTTACAGACGACTTCATAGACATGTACTTTAATGGAGATCTGTCAATACAGGAACTGTTAAGTTTACTCTCTCACCATTGGAAAAAAGCTAATGCTCTTAACCTCTTAATTTCCTCTACAAACTCAGTACTTTCACAAACACATTTTCGTTTTCTATACATACCTCTGAAAATGTAACTTTGTAGTTCTATCGGAAGGGATATGTAACATATAGTTCCACTTCACACAATCTAATATTCTGGTTTTATCTAAAAAAGTTACCCAAACATTGCGAGAAGTGTGGATCAGAAACTTCTTTTAGCTGTAAAGGTATCGAATTTTACACCTCAGTACTGAGATATGTTGGAGTTCCTGAAAAGATTGTCAACATTATGGCGAAACTCTGGAAGAGGTGGAAACATTCACGTACCTGGGGAGCATCGTTGATAAACAAGGAGGATCTGATGCAGATGTAAAGGCGAGGATTGGCAAAGCAAGGGCAGCATTTCTACAGTTGAAGAATATATGGAACTCAAAACAACTCTCAACCAATTTCAAGGTCAGAATCTTTAATACGAACGTCAAGACAGTCCCACTGTATGGAGCTGAAACGTGGAGAACTAGTACGACCATCATCAGGAAGGTACAAGTATTTATAAACAGTTGTCTACGCATAATACTGAACATCCATTGGCCGGATACTATCAGCAATAGCGTTTTATGGGAGAGGACAAACCAGCTTTCAGCTGAAGAGGAAATTAGGAAAAGACGTTGGAAGTGGATCGGGCATACATTAATGGAATCACAAATGTGCATCACGACTCAATCCCTAACTTGGAATCCGGAAGGGAAACGGAAAAGAGGAAGGCCAAAGAACACACTACGCCGGGAAATAGAAGCAGATGTGAAAAAGATGCATAGAAACTGGAAAGAACTGGAAAGGAAGACTCAGGACAGAGTTGGATGGAGAATGCTGGTGAGCGACCTATGCTCCTCAACGAGGGGTAACAGGCGTAAGTAAGTAAGTAAGTAACTGAAATGTGTACCTAAATAATGTTTATTCAAATTAATGTGATCACGATCCTTTTGTTTTGTTCTACTCATATAATATCTTCTCTCATGTTTATATTTTTGCGTTCACACACCGTTACTTCGCTCTCATTACATCCTTTTCTCCATTGAAGAGAATCCAAATGTTATTCCGTTTTTTATATTTTTCTGATTAAGCAAATATAGAAAATAGGTGTGATTGTGAAGCTTATCGATTCATTGGAATGAATGAAGCATGTATGTTCGGTCGTTAAGTAGAGATTATTATATAAACCCTGATTTTCTGAAAAAGTTTTGCAAGTGACATATTTATCTCTCGACTTATTGACCTCAAGGCCAAGGTCAAGTGTGCATAACTCTGAAGTAAAAAAAAACACTTTTTGTTCCAGACGATATAAAGTAGTTACATACATGTTGATTATTTTCTGTCACAACGATAATAATTATTTGTTTGACAGATTTGAAATTTCATACATGATAACAGTTAGCTAAAATAAGATAGTCACTATATTATCCTACTTTGTTATCGATGTAGCAATGTGTAAATAAGTCTATATCTTTGACTGGAAAAAGATTGAATCGGTAATTGAGTATTTTTTTTAACCTATTCAGAATACGATAAGAATATTTGAACTCGTCAACTGAAAATCCGTAGATTATTTGCCTAACTTAAGTATTTACCGGTGCTTGGGAACTCTTCTACTTCAGAATATACTTTACCAATATAAAGTGAAGCAACACAGCTTGTTTGAAGCTTTGAGTCAGTTCCAATAGGAAGACCATTTGGTATTTTTCATTCTATATTAACTGTGGCCACATTTAATATCCAACTAATCAAAACTGTACGGTACTTCGTTTTTCCCTACCCTTTAGCTATGAAATATCTTTGGAGATATAATTTCGTGTAGTGCGGTAGTGCAGAGTTTAAGCGAAGTGGATGCACTTTTATGCATGGTTTTACGTTGTCTATGTCTGTCACTCTATGGAAACCTGGTAGACATGAAGACATACAGTAAACATAATGAAATATGGATTTCTGTTTGTGATAGTGTTTATCTGTTTTATTGATTGGATATAAATGAACTGGCTAACTATATTTAAGATTACGCTATTACATTAATTTGCATACAATTACTGGATTACTTTGTGCATTATAATTTTAGTGAAATAATGTTTATTATCTTATAAAGTTCGTAAGATATGTTACTAGTTAGGTTAGACTACTCAGAACGAAAACATAAATCATCAAATTTAATTCTTTCAGTGAATTATTTAATACAAGAAAATATCAGTGGATTGATGCATGAGGCAATAGCTAATTGTTAAATTGTGTTTTACAAGTAAAGTTAATGGAGCAACAGTATAGAGATTGTTTAACATGAAGAACTATATGTCTGCCTCAAAAATACAACGATGTTTTATGCTATCATGTTTTGCATTGTACAAAAACAAATGACCAACTAAATTGTTGAATTTCTTAGCATTTTGTTCAGAAGTACTGCTTTATGGATGTACTATTTGTTTTGTTTTGGTAAATGTCTATTTGGTTCTACATATTTTCATCGAAGATAAAATAGCTCGTTTGTGCTAACCAGTAAACACTTACAGTGCTTTATACTAGTGTATGGCTCAAAAGCGGGGAATTAAAACACAAATCTTCATCATTGTAACCTACGTAAACACTCTTTTCGGTCTGAGATAATTCTAGTTTTTGTTTTAGGGGTATAATTAAGGGTGCTTATCAATTAATCTTAACTATCTATTTTACTAAAAAAACTACTGTCTAATATCAGTAACACAGATATTTCTATCATGCTTTCTAATACCGGTTAATTAGAGATTAGAAAGGCTTGTTAAATTGGTATTCCGTGGATCCAATTATCAATGTGTTCACTTGATTGTTTTATCCCAAGAGGTTTCAAAATAAAATTAATCAGTTGCTCAAATCGTTTCATTATTAGTAAGAACCACCATATCAAAATATTGCAACCATCGTCACCATTATATGCAACTTAGAACCTGACGATTTCTTGTCGTATTCTTAAAAGTAAACACATGTCCACCATCGCGAACGACTCAAAACCATGTTTCTCGAAGTTCCCAACCAATGGCCACGATAATCACACGAGCGCCAACCAGGTAATCAATGCCCCCGAATGCCTTGGCACGGCAGAGGGTGGGAAGAGTCCTCTCTTCCACGCCAAATGCTTCCACATAGCCACGCGTATACAGCCACTGTCAGGGAAATTCTACTCACTGCCTTCTCGCGTCGGGGGTGTTGTTTACAAAATCGGTAGGACGAAAAGCAAATTTCCGGCGCTTTGACAGGGTTGGTAGATATGGAGGATCCACCTAGGGGAGTTGTAAAACCCTGATTCCAAACCAATGGTGTACGCATTCTCCAGTACCCTGAGGGAACAAATGGCGTGTAAACTTGTTGTTGGTCACTGGCGGCCATGAGACTGCATCTCCTGGAGTTGCTCCACTACCTCGTGGGTCAGACCTCTAAGTCAGAGGCATGGCGTGTGGGGCCCCCTAAGAAAACCATTTGCCTCGATTTGGGCACCTGGACAATATCCCAGGTCTCACACAAATCAAGTGATATGTATGGCGCACGTGTATTTGGTGGCATTTTTGTACCAATATTTATGTGTTCAAACGAATGATGAATGAATAGGTATTCAATACATTAACATCACTCAGTCCGATCGTCAACCAGAGCTGGTGTTTCAAGAGGATGACTAATCGAGTTATTCCGTGTTCCATACTTTCAAACAACACAGAAATAAACTGTCGATTTTCAAATCTCAATAGCTAGTCGAAAATCAAATAGTTAATCTTTTTAACATCATGTCAATCACAACAGAGTTCCACTGACGTTAGAATCTGTCTTTGTTCCCAAGTTGGTTAGGTTCAGAAAATTAAAATGAGTGACAAATTAAGTATTGATTTAACGGCTATTATTCGATTTTGAAGCAACCTCTCATACGTAATCAAATTTTGGCAAATATTTTGGTATTTTAACAACAAATTTAACAGCTCTTGAATTTCGACTTTTTCTAAATCACTAACTAGTTTAGTTACTTATCTCGTCTATGGAGAACTCGTCAGAAAATTTGCAAGTTTCATAGAAAGCTTTAGTATAATATTTTATTGGGGTCGAAAATAAACATCACTACTATTGATTGTTTAGTTAGTTAATTTTGTTTTAATAATCAATCTATAGTAGATTTATAAGTTTAGATTTTTGACTCATTGTACAACTAGAAGTATTTCCCACTACGTCCGACAGTTGCATCAAATATTATTTTAGCGTTCAACATTTTAATGCACTTCAGCTGGTTTCCTTTTCAGTAAAATCTAGTTGGCGACTGATTTCTTACTGAATTGGCAAAGCATCTAGACCGCAATCCTGACATCATAACTTCAAATCTGTTTGGAGTATTCAGTCACTGCTAACGTGTTTTTGACAATCTAATTATTACTTTGAATTTCTTACATCTACTTATCAATAGGTTTCTTGAAATTATTAGAAGGGGTTTTTTGTGGAGATTTAGTATTTTCATAGTTGAAAGCGTGAGCCAATCGAAGCTAGATCACCATCGAAAACCTGGAAGCACTGGACGGCCGTTTCGTCCTATTGTGGGACTCCTCAGCAGTGAGCATCCACGACCTCGCCTCGCCAGATTCGAACCGAGGACCTACCAGTCTCGCGCCAGAGCACTTAGCCGACATCCGATGGTTTTTATGTCTTGAAATTATTGTTTAATTGAATCATAAGTTCGTTTAAATACATGTCTGTAATTTCTCTCTGCTTCATAGGCGTCTACTGAAGCGTTGCATTTCTTAACTGGAACTTATGCTCGATTCAATCGACAACTTGTTTTAGAACAAGAACGTTGTATAACATTGGAGAGAACCGTTGAACAGTTGGCTAAAGAATTACGTAGTTTGGAAATGCAGTTAAAATATCATATTCCTATGATTGTTGAAGACAAAAATATAAATCCAATCCATTTTGAAGGTACTCATTTTTTCTCTCACGTTATTTGAACTTTTTAACTTCATTTCTCATTATTTCTCTGAAATTCACTATAATGTAGTAGTCACCGAACAGTCTATAAATTTGGCCTTAAGTTATTTGTGTTGGTTTCGAACCTCAGTCTTTATGGCTTGTGATAGTTGGATAGCATAACTAACTGTCAAACCGCATATTTCTATATATGGAACTTTTTCTTGTAAATCATCCAATCTATAGATGTTCAACAGACACATGTCTTACAAGAGTTCAAAGGTATTTTATTCAGTTTGTTCACCACATTTACCTCAATATAACTCACTAAGTACACGCTTATGTAATCTGCTTTGAGCCACATTTTTATGATATTCAGTGTGCCATCTGGTTGCCTAATAAGAGGTAAGTAGAAAGGGTTCGGACCTACAACTTGAAGGTTAAAAGAGCTGATGTTGTTACATTTTGATGAGCAACGTTAAGTAAAGGACCTAGGTAAATCAAGGTCACTTCAACCATGATTGCTTTCTATTGTCCACTTTTCCTTTGTTTATTTGAATCTGCTTGATCGAGTAACATTTCAAAATAGACCATTTTACATAATAATTATGTCTGTTGGTAATTGAATGTAATATCTTTCCAAGTGGTATTGTGTATATACATATTTATTAGATGTTTTACGTTTTACGTGAAGGCTGTATTACATTTTAGTTTGTACAATAGATTCTATTTTCACAATACTCTATTTTAAGTAATATAGTCAATTGACTCCTTTTAATCAGTCTTAATACACGTATCTTCCCTCCTATCTTAATATATATCTCTACGCATATATATATATATATATATATATATATATATATATATATATATATAACTTTGCTGACATTCTCAAACATGAGCTCCAATCTCATTTAATTCCGAGTTTGTTCTCTTTTGCCTTTGAAATACAAAAATGTGATCTTCATATGAATAACATACCAAGTTAAATTATGTAAGAGCATATTAGCATGTGACATTAATGAAAAAGTTCATGTATGATTGTGAATGTAAATCTGTTTACAGCTGTTATGTTGATATTTTTCTTGTTGTATTAAGGATGACGACTAACAGTGTCATTTAAAATCTATATTTTCTATCGTGTAAGAGGTTCATGGATCCTTACGATGTTCCTTTTGGCACCCAAACATAGTACCTATTGTTTCAAACGCTGAAAAGTGTATCCATCAGACCACTGAATCATGTTGACTAACTAGTCCATTCTCCCAATATATTATTTTATTATTTGTAAGAATTTTCTACCGTTCTGTTGTTGGTATTCATGATTAAGTCGAGATGTCCTGGATTTCACTACTCACCATTCAAAATGTCATTAACATGTAAAAGTCTGGGTATAATCCTAATAAGGAATTCCCACACCAAAGTGGAGTGTTCGAATCTTGTCCTGAATATCAACTAAAAGAAAGTTCTAGCTCTTATAAACTAAAAAAGGTCTCTTCTTAGTTTTTGCTCTTTCTTGGTGTAAATATTTTTTTCTTTCATTCGCAAAAATTATTTTCCATTTCTGTCTTTCTGTATATGGAATGTGGTATCACAATTTATTGAGTTTTATATTGCTTTTATCTTCAGGTCAGCTACAACGTAGGACCAGGCACATATATGCATCGGTCCAAGTTGCCATACCTCGTTAGCACAACAAGAGGAACACCGGATTCATAGTAGTTAATTTAGTGTTGGTAGTAGTATATAAATTATAGGTTGTATATAAGGATATAGTACAGGAAGGAAGAGAGATATGAAGCAATTTTAGTCTCAAGATTTAAGGGAAGATAAAGAGTGTATACACCTACGCCATTGTGATCGATTCTGAGCCATGTCACACAGAGTCTCCAACCATTGGTTACGATAGTCAGGCGGACCCCAACCAGGTAGTCTGCATCTGCCAACATGGCTCAGACTAGAAGTTAGTGACTTCAAACACTGATGCCATGTTTTGGTTTGGCCGCCCCTAACTCTCTTCCAACCGTCCCCAATACTAGTCATCATAGCGCGTCGTGGTAATCGGTGTTCTGGCATACGTAACACATGGCCCAACCATCTCAGTCGATGAAGATTCATCACCTCATCAACTGATTTACCATCGTTCCCTAATACCCTGCGTCTAACCTCACTATTACTTATCCGGTGATCCCAGCAGATGCGAGCAATATTTCTAAGGCGTCTATGGTCAAATACTAGTAACCTACAAGTATCTTCTACTCTTAATGGCCATGTTTCACAACCGTAAAGTAGAACAGAGCGAACTGATGCGCAGTATACTCGTCCTTTAATTGATAGACGGATATCTCGTCTACGCCACTTTTCGAATCCGTGCTGAGATTTCGTCAGACACCAACCCATTCGGGCTGATCAGACTTCCAAGATAAGTGAAGTTGTCGACGCGTTCGACTACTTCACTCCCTATCCTTAGTTCGAATGTTGACGCAGTCCAGTCCTGGAGTAACAATTTACATTTGGATGGGGAGAAACGCATCCCAAACATCCTGGCATTATTACTGAGTTCCAACAGAAGACTCTGCATTTTGTCAGTGTCTTCACCAAACAGGACTATGTCATCTGCGTATTCTAAGTCGCTTAGTTGTCCCCCTGGTAGGAGATCAATTCCTGTAAACTCAGTCGACGAGAGTGTCATTTGCAGCAACAGGTCTATAATGAAGTTAAACAAAAAGGGGGATAATGGACAGCCTTGACGGACACCACTTGAGGTTGTAAAATCATATGACAGTTCGCCATAAGCTCTCACTCGACTAATAGTGTTCGAGTAAAGAGCCTTTACAAGGTTTATGTACTTCTCAGGTACACCTTTCAATGACAGACACTGCCACAAAACCTCTCGGTCTACAGAGTCAAATGCTGCTTTCAAGTCAAGAAAAACTATCATTGTCGGATGCCGATAAGCGTGTCTGTGCTCTAAAACTTGACGAATGGTGAATATGTGGTCGATACAGCCACGACCAGGTCTGAAGCCAGCCTGATTTTCTCGTGTTTGCAGTTCACGAGTCTTAGTTAGGCGCCCGATAATTATTGAGGCTAGTATTTTAGATGCTATGTTGGTCAGACTAATCCCTCTATGGTTATCGCAGGATGATTTTGACCCCTTTTTATATATTGGGACAATCAGTGATTGTGACCAGTCGGATGGGATTACATCCGTCTCCCAGATTTTAGCCAGAATATTAGTCAACCTAATCGCTAAAATTGGACCACCGTATTTAAAAACCTCTGGAACCAATCCATCAGGACCAGCTGCTCTTCCTCGTTTCAGATTACCTATAACCTTTTGAACTTCAAGTAGGGTCGGGGGGCCTACTTCAATGTTCCATTCAGGTTTTCTGGGAATAGTGGGTAGTTGTGCAGTAGCTGAAGGCCAGCTAAACTGCTCCTTAAAGTGTTCCGCCCATCGTTCTAAACGTTTGGGTTGAGAGCAGATAAGGGTTCCATCTTTTTCCGAGATTGTCTCACTTACACTTGACTTCTTAATTCCGGTTTCTTTTATTAGTCTGAATAGTTGCCTGGTGTTGCCTACAGCCGCTGCCTTTTCCATCTCTTTTGCTTTCGTTGCCCACCACTGCTCACGATCGTTCCTTAGACTTTTAGTTAACCTAGATCTAATTTGTTTACGCTCTTCGTCGTGTTCAGAGCCTGATCGGATGAGTTTACGCGAATCCATCAGTGAAATAGACTTAGAAGAAATCCACTGGTTTTTTGGAGCCCTATGGTTTAAATGACTAATAGATGTTACTGCCGTTTCCACAGCTGTTCGTGTGTCTTTCCAAGCAGCATCTGGGTCAGTCTTGTTTACAGAACTGCCTAGATGTGAACTCAGTTGTTTCTGAAATTCGTATTTGGCTTTCTCATCCTCCAGTTCAATCCTAATGGGTCTTCTTAGTTTACTTTTCCTGCGTCCATTGAGGCGCAGACAAATGCGTGCTCGTATTAAAGCGTGATCAGAGTCTAAACAAGTATTCCAATACGAGCGACAATCTTCTATTGAGCCTCTCCAACGATGACTGATGACAATATGGTCTATTTGAGTCCATCGTTGGTTTGGTGCAGGTGGTCGCCATGTTAGACGATGTCTCTCCTTATGTTTAAAATTAGTGCTTGCTAGAAATAAACGATTGTCTGAGCATAGTTGCAACAGACGATCACCATTATCGGTTCGTTGAGCCGGAATACTAAAACACCCACCTAAATGTCTTTCTGTTTGATTCAAGCTGCCTACCTGGGCATTAAAGTCACCCGCTACGACTACTATGTCTGGGCGCTTAGCTTTCTGAAGAAGCTCAGAGAGGTTTCTGTAAAAGTTATCTTTCACTTCATCATGGCTGCAGTCAGTGGGAGCGTTGGCAGAAACGACGAAAAGGCAACGACGTGTGTCCCTATCCTTCCGAGTTCTTACGGAGCCATTTAACCGGACAGCACACAGGCGACTGTTAACGGGGATCCATTCTAGTAGTGCCTGTTCTGCCCTTGTACTTAGCGCTATGCCTACACCTGCAAGTCCGCGAGAACTAGCCAACGGGTCGCCAGATACACGGAGGGTGTATTTCGTTGGCTGTCCATTTTGGCGAGGTGAGGTCAAGTGAATGACCACACTGGAATCCTGTATGCGTGTTTCGGAGACACAGCATACATCAATGGTACGAGATTCTAGGGTTTTAGCTAAGGAGGCCTGTTGACCGATTTGGCATAGGGTACGTACGTTGAAGGCTCCAATGTGTAGTTTGGAGCGAGGTTTAAGTAGACCTGGGACAGCGTTTCGCGCACTAGAATCGTTGGCCATGGTGACACTTGAGAAGGAAACCGAAAGAGGAAGTTTAGTGTTGAAAGTCAAGGTAGAGGGAATAGTAGGAATTGAAGAAGAAGATTGATTATGAATACAGTGGTCTTGAGTGCTGTTAGAGGTATGAGGGAAGTTATCACTTCCCGGTTGCCCACACCGTGGAAGG